ATAGACAGTCAGTCAGTTAGTTTTGAGTCTCTTATCTATATATATATATGTAAATATTCTATTTTGAGATTCGAGTTGCCTTTATGGCCATATTTTATAAGTTAAGTTGTTTTGTAATATTGCATTGCATCGAGTTATTCTGTTGAGGTTTCCGCTGAGTTAAGAAAGCCAGGCCAAGGGTTCGCTTGGGGCCAGAAATGGTCTTCGGGTGCCGGTCCCGCCCAGGGTGTAGGCTCGGGGCGTGACAATATAGCTTTGGTTGCTTAATAGAAATGGCAATAGTCCACAACCCTTTGATTGATATGTAGAGATAAGAATGTCAAATAGGATGGTTGAGTTGAAATTGATCAATAAGTTAAAATGGATTGGACTAATATGTTGATTAGGGTAAAATCAGCTCAATAGTTATTCGGATTAAAATGGATTGAAATGAGTTGAGTTACGATTTTAAATCAACATTTAGATATGTGATTTGGGATTATGATTATTTCAAAAAGCATTATTTGAGATTTTAATCATGATTTCAAAATATTTTAAATGTAAATTTGACTCATAAGTTAGTTTTTCGTCAAAAGAGAAATATATCATTTTAAATTTTGTAAAAAAAACTTATACTCGACGTGAAGAGATTGTATATATATACGATGCGAATATATTCTATTTAAAATAATTAGTTATTATTATCGTTCACTAGTGAATCTTTATAAAAATGTTTATTTGAAAATTTGTAATCACAACGATCATTTACTTATAAAAGAAACATAGAAATATGTGATTTATTAATTCGGAATCTTAGGATATTCCGATATCTTGTTTATAAACTGCGGTTTGTTCATTTTGGTGAGATTGTGTAAGAATTGAGGAATTTTTGATGAATTTCACAACTTGTGGGGTTTACATGTTTATGAAAAAAATATAGCTTAATAAAGAAATTTAAATTACATGTCCAAACAAAACTTCAATTTCAAATCAATCTAATTTTAAATTATGATTTCATATCACATGTCCAAATGGATCCTTAATTATTATATACCCCTAATTGCATTGAATATATAATGATTATATATTATACATTAAGGGGTTAGTAAAGTAGCAAGTTATTTATGTATTAATTGCAGAATTTTGATAGTTTGTTAGAAAAAATAATTATTCATATATAAAATCAATGCGACATGTGATATGTAATTTGGAAACTCACACAATTAATACATGTATAAATTATAAAGAAATTAGTGTGTTATCTTATGCATGATAGAAGATAAATTACTAATATCCACATAACTAATACTTATGTAACTAATTAATACGCGTATAGCTAAATGTGTGATCCTTCCACCTCAATCTTTTTTTTTCATTAATAAACACCAATCACTATCACCGTTATAGTAGTGTGTAAGCAATAATATATACACACTATATAACAAGCACCATCCAATCAATTAATAGAGATATAATCAGCTCATAAAATTATAATTTATTTAATTTATATAAATTTAGATTGATTATTGACTGATCCATTGATTAGCTAAACTCATTTTATTTTTCCATCGAAGTATGAATTAATATGTAGCTTAAATTTATCTATGAGAAATTTATGAAAATACTTTTTAAAAACAAATTGTTATTAAAATGTTATATGTAGTAAGTGATGATAAAAAATAATAATTTTATAAGGTACTAAAATGTTATAAAAGAACTAATAAGAATTAAAATTTAGTAAAAGCTGAACACGTTGAGTTATGATATGCGTTTGAATCAATTTCAGTTGAATTCATTTTAGCCCAAGTAATTCTTAGGCAAATTCATTTTGGGTGTAATAGGCACGATTTAATTGTACTTAACATTTTTGGCATTTAGTTCTTTAATTGTCGGTTGGAATAGGCAAGATTCAGCTCAAATAAAAAAAACCAATATTATCTTCTATCTTTGTCTTTTCTTTGAATTATTAATGAAAAAGTCATTTATTTTCATTAATTTGACTTTAATAATTAAAATTCACTTTTATTTTGAATAATAGACATAGACCCCTTGTTATGATATACAATAGTTTATCTTTGATAATTTCAATCTTCCATCTATGTAATACTTTCTATAATGTATAATATTTTATTTTTTTGACCTGGTATTTATGTATTTTTATTTATATTCAATAACATTATATAGGTAAAATAACTCTTCTATGAATTATTAACATAATCCAACACTATATTTGTGATAAATATTTAAATATACATACATTAAATAGACGTATGTTATGCATGCATGTGCGTATGTATGTTTAACTTTCACTTCTCTCTCATTTTAATTTGTCTGTATAAATAAATGAGTTTTAGTTGTGATCAAAGAAATAGCTTTTAAATTACAATTTAAAATTTATTTGTAATATAAGTAGATTTTTTTTTTCCAGAAATTTGTTATAATATATACACTTTTTTGTTAACTATTTTGGTGTTACATATATTGATATATTTATAAAGTTATTACTCTCTGTTACTTTTATTTGTGTAAATAAATATTAGAGTTTTGACTATTATTTGAGCTGGCCGCCGAGAGAGCACTGAGACGAAGAACCTAGCTAGGAATTTCCCTGCCCGTGTCTACTTCTTGAAAAACTTAAAAGGGTCAAGGTAAGCGTATCAAAAGAAAATGAGCAAAGCTTATAAAGAACGGAGTTCCCGGCTTTAAAGAATCAAGTTTAAGTACCGAGGAGATTTATTTGAAGAGCTTTGGTTATGAATGAATAGGCATTAAATTTTCTTATTCTATTCATTTATTTTATCATAGAATATTAGAATGTCATTAATTTATACATCCAATTAGTACTTTTCACTTTTTTCTTCTTTCGTCTATGAAATAATGTTTATCTTTTACAAGTTAATTTGTTACATAGATTAGTTAAAAAAATATATCATAATTTTAAGTAAAAGATAATGTTTGATACATGATATAAAATATAGGTATTTTAAAAATGTTAGTTTTGTGCAAGGGAAGAATTTTCATTATTCAAAATTAAGAAGAAATTTTGAGTTTTACAAAATAAAGTTAGAGATATATAAATGGTTTTCATGATTCGTTAGTGAGGGCTTAAAGGTCCAGTAATTATACTGGGGACTTTTTCCCATAAAAATGTCAAATAATTACTATATGGTTGATACACTATTTTTAATCAGTCTAAAAAAATGATCTATTTTTTTATGTGATAAATATTAAATGATACTATCAACACTTCATTATATTGGATTTCACTTATTTCACAAAAGAATCTACGAAAATATATTATTCTATTTAAAAATTCATTTATTTTTAAAATAATTTTAACCATGTCAAAGGGTTTCTATATTTCTTAATCAGATGTCTCGTGTTCGAGCCCTGGATATAGAGAAAATCATGTTGAGTGTCACCCCCGAATGGGTCCATAGGAAACCAAAATAAATAAATAAAATTTTAATTTGTCAATGCAAACTACGTACTACCATTTAATGGGGTATGAAATGGGAAGCACCTAGACTATAGTTTGGTTTGAAAATTCACCCCTAAGTACTATTACTGATTTCATTATGGTACAATTTAAACGTCAGATATACTATTCCAGGGGTGGACCTACATGGGTTCAGGGTTCACCCGAATCCCCTCAGCAAAAAAATATATTGTATATATAAGGTAAATTTTCAACATTTTTATATATATTCATTTTGAACCACCTCAATCAAAGAAGAGAGATAGCCTAGTGATATTAGACTGTGCAACTTGGGCCACAAATGTTATCCTCAGTTTGTAGATTTGATTCATGTTAGGTGTGTAAGGTATATATTTTTTTTCTGAACCCCCTAAATGAAAATTCTGAATCTGTCACTGTACTTATCGTTTAATAGGGTGTATAAGAATGATAGTGTTGAATAAAGTATATTAATAGTATTACGATCTACCCCTGTTGGGTGCGCAAGCTAATTTTTTTTTCCGAACCCCTAAATGAGAATTCTGGTCCATCACTGTACGATTTGTTTAATTGGGTGGTATATAAGAATGATAGTGTTGAATAAAGTATATTAGTAATATGATGATTTGTTTGATTTTGTGTAGAGGTGCATGGTTTGATTTGGGTTAGTTATGATTAAAATAAAAATTGAACTAATTGATTCAATTTTTAAAGTATTAAAATCAAAACAAACCAAATGTAGTTCATGTTCATCGATTTGGTTATTGTTTGTTTTCTTTGGTTTGATTCTTTTTTTTTTATTCGATTTTTACGAAATCTTATTGCATTTCTCTTTTTTATTTTTTCCCCTACCATTAGATTATTATTCTTCTCCAATTTATAATCCATTATTAACATTTTTATTGTGACGAACATAATTTTCTTAAATTTTAAAGAAAATATTTTAACATCTATAAGCTTTAATCAAGGAATAAGGTTGATGAGAAACGAAACACAGAAAATATATAGGTAAATCTCATAGTTATTTCTATGAATAATAAATAAGTCTAGATTCATGACTTTCTTTTTTAAAATGAATTTAAGATGTAAAGTTCATTAGTCTAGTAGAGATAAACAAACTTTTCATGAAAAAATATATAAAATATTTATAAAAATCAATATATATATATAAAATTTAAATTCAAACCAAAAAAAAAAATCAATCTTCAATTGTATCGTGAACATCCTTAGTTTGATGTATCAAAAATAAATTTTATCTTTAATCATGCTTATTCATATATCAATATCACTTGTATTATTTGTACTATGATTTGATAGACTACTATATATAATATAACTAAAACATGTATTAAAAAATCTAATACATTCTACCAAACGACTCCGAGAACATACCTGTGAAACAACTCCAAGAACACCTAGTGACACTCTAACTGCATTCAGCTCAGAGCTACCATTTTCCAATATATGAACTTTAGCATAATTATACGACGCATCAGCTGGTGTAACGATTCGAAGTCGCATAATATAATCATGTACCGAACTTCCCATACCCCAAAGTGAACTTCCATGAGCTCCGGTCCCAATTAAGCCCCCAATTGTTAAACCCCACCAATAAGGTGCGTAAGGCAGGACCAATCCTGCTTTACCCGCCTCACTAATAAGTTGTTTCAATGTCACCCCACTTTCAACAGTTATACTCATGTCTTCTTGATCGATTCTCAAGATCTTGTTTAGGTATTTTGTACTTATAAGTAACCCGCGGTATTGATCATCATTGTCTAGACATACCAATTTAGGTATGCTATGAGAAAATCGAGTGGCGACTTTCATTTTTCTCTTTTCTCTTGTTGCATTTGCTACTATAGAAATGAGTTCTTCTTCTGTCGATGGATAAATAGCTTGAGATGCCTTGCAAATCGCGCGATCTGGGAATGCCCCGTAGGAGTTTGTAATGGTGCAGTTGAAATTTGTGTTGTATGAACATTTTATGGGATCTTCAGGTGGGCTAGATTTAACTGAGTAGATGATAAAGAAAATTAAACTTAGTTTTATTATTTTGGTGTCAACCATGACTAGTAAATCAGAGAGATGTACAACTTGTATAGATATAGAGTTGCTGAAATAAATAGAAATAATGTACTGATTAGAAAAAGGTTACACAAGTATTAATTGTGTGGGACATAATATAAAATAAAACTTTTTATATTTAATTGATACTAGTTATATGCGTAGATGCCCCATTGAGGACGTGCGAGAGGTTGATTATAGTGGGTATGAGGAGAGGTAGAGGTAGGTCAAAGAAGTATTGGAGTGAGGTGATTAGAGACATGAGATGGCGTAACTTTAGGCTAATGTGGCGTCATGACCTTAGGTGTAACTTCAGGTTGACGCGATGACATGACCTTAGATACGAGGATGTGGAGGAGACATACTAATAACCCCACTTTGAAATTATATTTTGGAGGCAAAAGAATGAGGGGGGCCACAAAAACATGCATCTTGCTATTTAAGACATGGATTATGACATGCCAACCTCTCTACAGTCTTGTAGGGGAATAGTCTTGCACGTCAGACAAGAAAAAGGAAATAAGGCAAAATAAAACTATTTTGTTTTATCCCAATCTCTTAATATAGATGAATGTTGTGACATGTCAAAATAAAAGAAGACTTCCTCCATCTTGTATTGCAATAGTGACGTGCCATTCCATCATTTTGTTTTTTTTATTCATGTTGCTAGTGCAAAAATGAGTTGCTGTACTAAGTTGAAAACATTAGTAATCTTTGAAGCCAAGATATATATTATAATAATAACTAAAAGATAGGACTATACAATATTAAACAACTGTCATATAGGTGTAAAGAGACATTAGACATAGCATATTTTCTTTAATTTTATTTAGGCCAACCACATGTACAATCCTTTTAATTTGTTCTTAAATTTTAGTTTGATACTCCAATTTAATTTTATTCCATTTTAACCTTTTTGATTTTATATTTTATGTATCATTTAAACACAAAATGCTAACTGGACATATTGTTGAGATATTACTCATCTTTTAAGGCGCGTGAGATATTCTTTTTAAAGTTAGGGGTTATTTGGATGAGCTTATAAAAAGTAACTTATAAGTTAAAAGATAAAAATCATGAATCGAGCATACCCTACTTTCAATTTATTTTAAAACTTTTTTGACCTAAAAATGAATGCTTAACACATTTTTTAACCTTTTCAAACACCTTCAAAATTAAAAATATACTCAAAAAGTCAGAAGCACCTAAGAATAAGTTAATCAAAATAGACATTTAATATTCAACATTTATTATCATTAACAACGTTCTCCTCTATTTCGTTTTTCCTTCCTCTACTTTACTTATTCATTTATTTTCTTCATCTACCTCTCCTTTCCTATTTTAACTCTCTCTAGACTAGATATATATCTTCCCAAAATAAAATTCAATCTTTTTTATTTTCTTATTTTTTTGCAGTGTGGATATATATTTAAATTAAATGGGTTGAAGCACGATTTTCAAATCGGTAGTTGATTGAACCAAAATAAAAAATCGAATCAAATTAAATTAGTTTAATACATATTCTATACACATTATTAACAAATTAAAGTACCGAATTAGAGTTCAAAAGAATGCAGTAGTGTTTTAAAAGACTATGTTAGGACTCGCCTTGGGGCCGGGCTCTAGCAAATTAACGCCTCGAGACTCAAGTGTGAGGCTTAGTTTTGTAAGACTTACGCCCTAAGCACCTGACTGTACGCCCTAAGCATCCGATTGTACGTCATAAGCATGCCCGACGCCCAATGCTTGGGGCTCGCCTAACAGATCTTGCACAATGTATGTGTTAAATTATTTAGTTAGCATTGTTGACCCTCATAATTCTTGAATAAATGAATGATACTTAATAGTTTTTTAATCTATAGAAATAAGAAGATTGTGAGTAACTCAAATAACAAGTTGTAGTATCACATCTTTACTATTTGGTAACACTGTGAGGGTATTTATATATTACCTAACATTTCTTTCAGAAATTCATAGCGAAATTTTACTTTTTTTCACTTACCCGTGGTCTTCATGTTTTTGTCATATGTCTCAAAATTATCATATTTTATTTAGCTATTTGGAAGTAATTTTATTTTTATTCATGATGGAGTGATGATTTTATTATAATACTAGTAAGTGTTATTGATTGATAAATTGTATAGTATGATAATATATTTTTAGAAATAATAATTTTTTATTATTAAAAATTTAAGATAATAGATTATTTATACTTCTATAATCATTTTAGAAGTTTTATTTACTATAAGTTTCCTTAATCATGCTTGTAATTATTTAAAACTATTGATTTTTTTAAATAATTTTGTGTTATTATTTTATTATACTATATTGTAAATTAAAAATTTAAAGATTCATTGGGCTTACACCCCATGTCTCAAGATTTACGGCTCGCTTTATGCTAAGTAAAATGTCATGTCTCACACCTCCGCCTTTTAAAACACTGGAACGGAACATCCATTGCTAGTTCCTTGTGTTTGGTGATGTAATTCAAGTTTATATAGGTGACATTTCATTTGTGAAATAAGGTAGCTAGGTTTAAGTGTAAGATTATTTAGATTTCATGTACCTATTTTTGAACAAATAAGTGAGGGTTTCATCTCTTAAGGGTGATGAGATTGTTGAGTTAAAGAATAGGTTAGGAACTTATGGTTGTTTTGGAGAAATAATTATGCGAGTATCTTTTGGTTGGGTGGGGGATATAATTACAATGGATTTACCTTTTTAATTTTTTTCTAATACTTGCTGAATATTTATACTGGATAACGTTTTTAATATTTAAATAGTACATATTAAAGAATTAAAATGAAACAAAATCGAATTGTTATGCCAAAATAAAATTTAGGAGCAAATTAAATTATTTTTTCATGTGTTCGGCATTTTATTTATGTATTCTTATATCCACCGTACAATTATTCATTTCTTGAATGCTTACATGTCCAATAATTATTTAGGGATTTTTTTCTCGTTTAGCAAATGTCAGAGCAATTAATAGGCATTTGGCCATATGATTTGGAATTTCAGTCTTATATTTTTTATTTGAAATCAATATTTTATGAAATTTGTACAAAATTTTAATTCTAATTTCAAATTTTAAATGTAAAACTTAATTCATGAATATACATTTTGTAAAAATATAAAAAATAAAAATGCATGCTTGACGTGAATAGAATATTGTATGTACCTTGTGAAAATAGTTTACAAAGATATAACTAGTTACTAATATTATAGTTGATTTTTTGAAGCAGTGAATCTTGTAAGATTACGTGCATACAAATTTATAATAACATTTAATTGCTAACATTTATTATTTTTATTTATAATAGAAACATAGAAATATGTGATTTATTAATGCTTCGCCTTAAGATATTTAGATACCTTGCTTATAAACTATGATTTTCTTATTTGATAAGATTATATAAGAGTTGAGAAAACTTTGATAATTTTTCACAAATTACAGAATTTTCATATTTATGAGAAAAAAAATATACAGCTTAAATATTCAAATAGTAAATCAAAAAAAAAAATAATCAACTTTAAACCAACCTTATTTTAAATGATAGTTTAAAATCATGTGCAAACTACCTTGGTAGGTATATTATATATATCAATGCATAGTTGAGTGGGATTTGAAACTGTGAAGTTATACACTAGTATCATTCATTCATTGGACATCATCTCACCTACTACTACCCACAGGTGTTATTGTGGTGGTTGTAGTTGTTTTTATTTTTATTATTATTTTTATTACTATTAATAATAATAATAATAATTATTATTATTATTATTATTATTATTATTAGCAAACTAATCAAAATTCCTAACATAATTAGCTAAAAATCTATATTTTAAAATAATTATTAAAAATATCATTATGTCATTATTTTAGCAAATATAATGTATCATAATATAATTAATTTACTATCCTTTTATTTCTCAAATCAGTTACCTAGTTTGACTCTACTACCAGTTAAAAGTAAAAAAAAAAGACCCACATTCTAATATTCTTTCTCTAGGTTTTTATCCCAAATCTTTCCACTCTATTGTTTCCACCACTGTGTCTTACGATTTTTAATTTGATATTATGATTGATGGTATTCGTCTATGTGGTTGATCACGTTACAGGTGCTCATGTATATATTAACGGAGCGTCATTTGTGCTCCTGAATTGCTCTATGATCTATTCTACCTTTTCTCTCTTCTCTCCATCCATTTGCATAATGTTATTTAAATTTCTTGCACTGTTTTGTTAGACAGTGCTTAGTTCTGTGTCATTTGTGCATAGTCATTTTTTCTTTTCTGTTTCTGCCATCTTGTTGAAATTTGTGTCTAGATTTTTATATATGTTGGTCAATGTAAAACAATAATTAATTCTAAATAACCAAAATACAGTTTATTTATTTATGTATTCATTATTTAGATATTCATCCTAATTGCATATGTAAAACAATTTTTTTATATTATTATGCTTATTTTGTATTTACAATATCACTTTGTATACCAAATAGTTTATATTTAGATTTGATTTTGTATTCGTCCTAATGGTATACCATCAAGTTTTGTATTTATATTTGATTTCGTATTCATTCTCAATTCTAAATAACCAAAATACAGTTTATTTATGTTATATAAGTATTCATCCTAATTGCATCAGTAAAACATATTTTGTACTTTATTTTGCTTATTTTGTATTTTCAATATCACTTTGTATACCAGATAGTTTGTATTTAGAAGTGATTTTGTATTCATTTTCAATTCTAAATAACCAAAATACAGTTTATTTACATATTCATTATATAGGTATTCATACTAATTGCATTAGTAAAATAATTTTTGTATTTTATTTGGCTCATTTTGTATTTTCAATATCACTTTGTATCCCAGGTAGTTTGTATTTAGATTTGAATTTGTATTCATCCTAATGGTATACAATCAGGTTTTGAATTGTATGGTCTAACTTTTCAATTGAAATGAATATTTATCGTGCTCAGTTTGTATTTTATTATCACTTTTTATTCAATTCTCAATTTGAATGCCAACAAATTTGTATTACTTT